CCCCCCCCCCCCCCCAAGGTTTCCTCCCTTCCTGAGCAGGCCGTTCCTTGCTATCCAGCACTGCGCCACTTTAACTGGTAATTGTGCGGTCGTGCAACGCTGTACCCCATGGACATTTCTATCGTATTTTCCTCCACATAATTAGAGCTTTCCTTGGGTGTCATTGATCTCCTCTGGGGGGTTCTATTTATTTATTTATGTTTGCGATATAAACAAAAAAACACCGAAAAGTCTTGAAAAGCAAACAATTAGGGAATGCAGCGATACCGAGTATTTCTGCGAGTACTCATGACAACGCTCCAGAAACCGGCGCGATTGGTGCCAATACAGATTGCACCGCAAAGATTAGCATGCGATTGAACAGGAATGCGACTCCCGTCCAAATCGCATGCAGTTTCCCGCACCGCTCCCGTGTGAACCCAGACGTGTCATAGCCCCAGATCACACCGGAGCCGTGCGGGAAACTTCCCTGCACCAACCCCATGCTGAGAATATGGACCATCCGCCTCCATAGTATACATCCCACACACCCACACTCCGCTCAGCCTGGGATCCGTGCAGGGAAGTTTCCCGCACCGCTCCCGTGTGAACCCAGATGTATGGACAATGTCCATAGGGAACGCCCACGGTCTCTCCACTCAGCATGGGATCCATGCAGGGAAGTTTCCCGCTCCCATGTGTCATAGCCCGAGAACACATCGGAGCCGTGCGGGAAACTTCCCATGCTGAGCATATGGACCATCTGCCTCCATAGAATACATCCCCGGCACACCCACTCTCCACTCAGCCTGGGATCCATGCAGGGAAGTTTCCCGCACCGCTCCCGTGTGAATTTAAACTTGTCATAGCCTGAGGTCACACAGGAATGCGATTTGGACAGGAATCACAGGAGGGAAAGCCGCTTCATGGGTCTGGAGAATTGAAATCCCTGCGGCTTTCTCTTCTGTCCTTGCATCAATGACAGTTCAGGATAAGGGCTTCTGATCTGTCCATGTGACCGTGCTGACCAATCAGAAGCCATCTAGCCCATACTGTCATCGCTGCATGGAGAGAAAGCCGATTCACAGGTCTTTGGATTTGAATACTCTGCGGCTTCCTCTCCTCTTCTTGCAGGGATGACAGTTCGGGTTACAGGGCTTCTGATTGGTCAGCAGCGCTGTCACATGGACAGGTCAGAAGCCATCTAGCCCAAAGTGTCATCTCTGCAAGGAAAGAAGAGAGATCCGCGGGGATTTCTAATCCCCAGACCCGGTGAAATTGGCTTCCTGTCCTTGCAGGGATGACAATATGGGCTAGATGGCTTCTGATCTGTCCATGTGACAGTGCTGACCAATCAGAAGCCCTCTAGCCCAACCTGTCATCCCTGCAAGGAAAGAAGAGAGATCCCTGGGGATTTCTAATCCCCAGACCTGAGAATCGGCTTCCTCTCCTCTCCTTGCGGCGATGACAGTAGGGGCTAGACTGTATGTTGGCTTCCTCTGTCCATGTGACAGTGCTGACCAATCGGAAGCCATCTAGCCCAGCCCAACTGTCATCCCTTCAAGAAGAGGAGAGGAAGCTGCGGGTATTTCCTCCTACACAGGTCTTATATTCTGCATGGCTTCCTCTCCTCTTCTTGCAGGGATGACAATTTGGGCTAGAGGGCTTCTGATTGGTCAGCACCGTCACATGGACAGATCAGAAGCCCTCTAGCCCAAACTGTCATCGCTGCAAGGAGAGGAGAGAAAGCCACGGGGATTTCAAATCCCTGCAGCTTTCTCTCCTCCCCTACCAGTGAGAATATGGAGCATCTGCCACCATAGTATACATCCCCACACGTCCACTCTCCGCTCAGCATGGAAAGCCTGCAGGGAAGTTTCCCGCACCGCTCCTGTGTGAACTCGGGTTATGACAAGTCTGGGTTCACACAGGAGCAATGGGGAAACCGCATGCAATTTGTACAGGAATCACAGGAGGGAAAGCTGCATCATGGGACTGGGGATTAGAAATCCCCGCGGCTTTCTCTTCTCTCCTTGCAGCGAAGACGGCTTCTGATCTGTCCATGTGACAATACTGACCAATCAGAAGCTGTCTAGCTGAACTGTCATCGCTGCAAGGAGGGAAGAGAAAGCCGCTTCATAGGTCTTTGGATTTGAATACTCCGTGGTTTTTTCTCCTCCCCTAGCATCCCACCCCCAGTGTAATGCAGGCCATAGATGGGTCGAAAACCAGCCATTTTTAGAAAAAAAAAAAAAACGGTCGTTCAATAGACCGACGTTTAAAACCAACGGTAAAAAAATCAGTCGATTTTCGTCCCGTCTACAGCCGACATTTAATTACTTCTGTCCCTGCAGAGAGCTCCACTATTATATTTGACATGAAAAAGTCTTGCGGTTGCAACAATGTATCCATTTGTATCCATTTCGGATACAGATGGTTTTATTCGGATACAAATAGATACATTGTTGCAACCGCAAGACTTTTTTCATGTCAAATATAATAGCGGACTGGAATTCTTCTTCCTTCTTCTTCCTTCCTCTTCTTCCTTCTTCTTCCTCCTTCTTTTTCCTCCTTCTTCTGCTTCCTCTTCCTTCTTCCTCCTTCTTCTTCTTCCTCCTTCTTCTTCCTTCTTCCTTCTTCTTCCTTCTTCTTCCTTCTTCTTCCTTCTTCTTCTTCTTCTTCTTCCTTCTTCTTCTTCCTTCTTCCCTTCCTTCTTCCTTCCTTCTTCCTTCCTTCTTCCTTCCTTCTTCCTTCCTTCTTCCTTCCTTCCTTCCTTCTTCTTCCTTCTTCCTTCCTTCTTCCTTCCTTCTTCCTTCCTTCTTCTCTCATGCGCAGATTTTTTATCGGTAAAACGATCGACCAATTTGCCCATCATTGCCGGGAAAATCGGCCGTTTTTTTTTTTTTCCAACTTTACCGATAAAAAAAAATGTGGCAAAACCCCGAAAAACAGCCAACCAATTAACCCATTAACATTTTTTTTTTTTTTTCCCTCGGCCGAAAAATCTTCCTATTTTCGACCCGTCTATGGCCTGCATAATGGCCAGTTCACACCAGTGTGTTTTAGCACAGCTGCAAATTTCAAATCGGCAGAAGGACATCTGAAAAACAAGTAAAATTTACTAAATTTTACATAGTTTGTTGCTCTTGCAAGGGCATGCACAATTTTAAAGCTTGGCGTGTTTGGTATCTATGTACTCAGCGTAACATCATCTTTTAAATGTTACCAAAAATTGGGTTATGAATTTTTTTTTTTTGCATTAAAACACAAAGTATTCTTTCCCCAAAAATTGCAATTGAAAAACCACTGTGCACATACTGTGCGACATAAAAAATATTGCACCAGCCAATTTATTCTTTAGGGGCTCTACTTTAAAAAGATATCATGTTTGTGGGTCCTAAGAATTTTTTCTAGCAAAAAATACTGATTTTTTACAAAAAGTGTCAGAAAAGGCCTGGTCTTATAGTGGTATATGGAAAGGATACCGGGGTGTGATTTGGCTGCTCAGTATGTGCTTGTACCCACGTACTTCAGTGTGCGAGGATGACCTGAAGAAATAGTTTTTTTTTTTTTGTTTTTTTTTTTTTTCCCTCACTGGGGCTGGCACCTTTTTAGCCCTGGTTCACACTGATGCAGAATTCTCACAGAAAACGCAGCAAATTCCACACCGCATCAGAATCGTACCACGTGACACTGTACTACTTGTGGGGGGTGATGAAGATTTTATTTTTTTTTTACACTGAATGCTTACACCCATAAAGGCTGTAAAATAAATAATTTCTCCTTCTCTCTGGCTGCATTCTTGCAGCCATTGAGAAATACTGTGAGAGCTGTGGTTGGTCACAGCTTGTCACATGGTACAAGGCTGTTGTGAATGGCCCTGTACCATGTGATCTTTGTGATCATTCACAGATTTCACACGTAGTAAGCAATGATGTCAGAAGTGACCTCTTGCTTGCTACTCTGCATGTATTCACTGATTGGCCAATCAGTGATCACATGATCGGGACCTCGCACAGAGGTCCCGTACGACGATCGGTGTTCCACTGTGTCCGGAGGACACAGCGGGCACCGGATCGCGGTGCTGCACGCTCCCAGGGAGCGCTCACAAGCAGGGGGCGGGGAGACTGTTTATAAACGGCCACCTGACCCTGCACTGCCACCGTCCGGCCGTCTATATACATCGGCCTGACAGGAGGTGGTTAAGTTAACAACATCCCGAAAGCGGGATTCTGCGATGTGCAGAATCGGATCGCATAGGTGTGAATACCCATGAAATCTGATTCTGGTGCGGACCAAAAAAAGGGTGCTGCATCTTTTTGGTGCGGTGCGATTAGAGCCATACAAGATGTACGACTCCAGTCGCACCGCACACAAATCACATGTGATTAGCACAGGAATGTGGTGCAGTTCCTGTACGAATCACATGCAATATACCGCATCGCATATATGTAAACCCGGACTTACTCGCCCGGCAGATGTGCTTCTGCTAAGTTTAAAAGAACCCGACACTCCCCTTTGCTGCTGAACATCCAATCAGTGCTCCTCACACTGCAAGGTCTCTCCCCTCCCTGCTAGTCCCCAGGTGTGCTGCTGGAGACAGGCAGGGAGGTGAGAAGGAGATAAATGGTGCAATGTTAAAACCATGAAAAGTTTAACCCCCCTGGCGGTATTCCTGAGTATTTCTCGGGGTAAAGTTTCAGCACCACAAGCGGTGACCCCCCCGAGCTACACTCGGGAATACACTGCAGCGTTGCTCCAGGATCTCTTCTGCACTTACCTTGTCCTGCGCTCCCGCGATGTCCCCCCTGCAGTGTCCTCGGCAATGTCCTCTGGCCAATGCCGGCATCCGTCTTCCGGGTTCCATTCCCCCGCAACATCGGGACATACGGGGGACGGAACTGGCGGGAAATTTAAAAATATCAAAAAGTGACATTCACTAAAATCACATAGTATAACATTTCTGTATCAAACCATTTCACATACATATTGTCCCGAGTGCTTTGTCCGGCGCCCTGCCTGCATTTTTACTGTTCTTTCTGCCTGGAAACTGAGAAACGTCCATGGCGTCCAAAAAGCGTCCCTTTACGTCAAAAGCGGTTTTAGACCGGCTAGAGAACAGCGATAGTAAATCAGAACCACTTGCAGAATTGAGTGATAATGATTGGTGGGGGAAATTCCTCATCAGACACTGAAAACGATTCTGCGACTTTGCTCAGCGATGTGCCAACTTGGCGCTCTATTTCACATTTCAGTGTTTTTGGTTTGATTATATTATTGAATTACATTTATTATTATCTTTTATAATTATTATATTATAATTTATGATTTCATGTTTCAAATTTTATCGTACCCGGGATGTTTACTAGACTCTTGTTCGGACAGATGAGTTATTCCTAAGAATTACAGACCTACAATAAAAAAGCGACATATTTCCATGAAAAAAAATGTACCGCTTTGAGCACAGAAATACTGGCATAATCAGACCGCTAGGGAGGCTACGTTGCCATAAAGCCCCTTTTGTTTGTAAAAGCTCCAGACATTCTAAAAAGCGCCTCTGCCTAATAGAAAACATCAACCCTTCTTGTAGTTTAAAACAAATATTAATTCCACACCCCTGTTGTCATACAGAAATAACGGGTTGCATTTTATTCTTTAAGCCTACCCCACCCTCACCTAACGGCCATTCTCCCTCATTCCTCCCACCCCTCATTCCCCTCAGCCACTTCCTACTGTACCACTACCCCCTCCCTCCTAGATTGTAAGCTCCAAAGAGTAGGGCCCTCTTACCCCTCGTACGCTGTCTGTTGTTGTTGTACTGTGCCATGTATTGTCCCCCCCCTCTATTGTACAGCGCTGAGCAAACCCTTTGGCGCTATATAAACTCGATGTAATAATAATAATAATAATAATTCTTCACAGCATGGCTGCTTTACCGCAAAACAATCTCCAGAAGCAGTTAGAGTTCTTTTCTGCGAAGGTTGGTGGGAACAAACTCTCTCTTCAGAAGTCTAAGCCAAGGTGAGTGCAATGGGATGAATTTGTATTTATTTTTTATAGTGCTGCTAAGCTCAAATTCGGAAAATCCGCCGTTGACAGGCAGTATTTTGATAACAGAAGAAACCCTAGTGGTCTTCTGTCCTAAATGCTTTCCCCAGCCTGTCAGCAGTGATATAATTGCAGCCATGCATGCGCAGCTCAGACCACATACACCATTTAGGTGGCTGAAGAGACGAATCCTAGAAGGAAGACCAGGCGATGGTGGAAGTGCCCGGGACCAGCAGGAGCGGGTGACGGCGCAGCACTGGAGGGCTCAGTTTGACCGGTAAATCTGCCATAATGTGCTAGCATATGCCGTACATTCTAGCACTATATGGCATAAACCTGCAGGGGGGGGCCTCCTTTTTTTTTAATAAAAAAAATTTGGCAGAGTTTAACCACTTCAAGTCCAGACACTTTTACCCCATTCCTGTCCAGGCCAATTTGGGGTGTATTTAGATTTTATTCTGCCCTAGGCAACATAAAAATTGTCACCCCCCCCCCCTGCAGAAAGAGCTTTGACCAAGAACACCCCTGCCCTCCCGAGCCCTCCACTACCACTGCCCCCCATACACCAGCCACCATCCCAAATGGCGAGAGAGAGAGAGACCCTCACCTTCACAGCTCCGGACATCCCCGGGAACGAGAGTCGAACTGTGCATACACCGTCATGAAACCCCCAGCATCTCTCGGAACCCACCAGGTCCCCATGCCGTGTGTGTCCCTTCTTCTGTCCCTTCTTCCAAGGGGCAGTGCTGCCCCCCCAGAAGATGCCGCCCTAGGCAAATGCCTTGTTTGCCTTGTAAATACATCCCTGGTGTGTGTGACACATCCAGTCCTTCTGCCCTGCTGCTAGGACCTACCCTGTCCCAGTGACAGGCAATTCTGATTCATCAAAGTACACAAGAGAAAGGTCTGCCAGCTAGAGGTGTAAAAAAAAAAAAAAAGTCTGACAATGTTTGTCAACAACATTCCTCAACTGAATACAGAAAGATAGAGAGAAACATTGTTTCATTTTGTATCTTTGTTCATCTGAAGATCAAAGATAAGAACTTCATCCACAGCTGAAGTCTGTTAAAGCAACCTGACAAGTAATATAAAAACACCCAAAAGTTTTAATTTTTAAAAAAAAAAAAAAAATGTTCCTCTGTTTAACCCCTTATTAATCCATAATTTACTCTAATCAGCCCTAATTAACTGCTTATTCAATTATTTTCCTGCTGATTTTTTTGTTTGTGTTTCTACTTTAGCAACTAGTAATATTTAAACTTTTTTTTGTTTGTTTTCTTCATTTAATATGTTTATACCTTTTAACATATTTACAAGTTTCACATTTAAGAAAGCACAATATTGAAAAAAAAACACTTAATTGCCCAATTTTGGGACTGTCAAGGTCTCAGCAGAAATTGGCATCCTACCTATTTATTTCTGCCAAACGTGCTATAGCTCAAGCTTGGAGAACCGCTTGGGTTGTCTTCCAGGGGGTGAAGACCCGGATGAATGCTATGTTGATGAATGAACAGATGTCTAGCATTCTTCATGATTCTCATCTGAGATTCCTTAAGGTTTGGGAACCTTGGATACGTTATTCTTTGCCATCCCTGCCTCCTACTAGTTATGGCCTCTTATAGTTGCTGCCTGTGCTAGCGATGGATCCGTGATCCTTCTAGTTTCCCTTCCCTCCATGTTTTTTTTCTGATTCCATTGCTGGTTTTTTTTTTTTTTTTTTTTTTTTTCTAACTTTTTTTCTTTCCTCTTCTTCTTCCGGTAATATATTTGGTTCAGCTTTTTGCCGTCCCTCCTTTGTTATTTGACTAATGCGAGTCAGCTGGATGTATCTGTTTATGTGTTATTGTTCTGCTCTGCCCTGTGTGGGCGTATCTTGAGCTTGTTGTATTCTTAAAACAATACTTTGTTAATAAAAAATATTGAAACAGAAAAAAACCCGCTTAATAACTTTTCAATGCTTTGTACCAGAATCATATATTTAGTGTCATTTTAACCACTTCCCAACCGCTCTGTAGGAGAAATACTGCTACAGGGCGGCACAGGTGCGCAAAATCACGTATACAGTTGCAGGAAAAAGTATATAATATACTGTATTTTATAACATTTCTATATATTATGTATTTTATAATATATAGTATTTCTATATAATAAAATATGATATTTAAAAAATATACACTATATATATATATATATATATATATATATATATATATATATATATATATATATATATATATATATATACACTGTTGCCTTTCTATTATATCCAACCAGTCTGTCCATTCACCTCTGACCTCAACAAGGCATTTTCCTCCACACAACTGCCGCTCACTGGATATTTTCTCCTTTTCGGACCATTCTCTGTAAACCCTAGAGATGGTTGTGCGTGAAAATCCCAGTAGATCAGCAGTTTTTTTTAAATACTCAGATCAGCTCGTCTGGCACCAACATCCATGCCACATTCAGAGTCACTTAAATCCCCTTTCCTCCCCATTCTGATGCTCAGTTTGAACTTCTGCAAGTCGCCTTCACCACGTCTAGATGCCTAAATGCATGGAGTTGCTGCCATGTGATTGGCTGATTAGCAATTTGTGTCACCAAGCAATTAAACAGGTGGACCTAATAAAGTTGTCTGTGAGTGTGTATGTATGTATGTATGTATATATATATATATATATATATATATATATATATATATATATATATATACACAGTTGCAAGAAAAAGTATGTGAACCCCTTGGGATTATGTGGAGTTTTGCATGAATTGGGCATAAAATGTGCTCTGAACGTCATCTAAGTCACAACAATAGAAGAACACAGTCTGCTGAACATAATACTACACAAACATTGATGGGAAAATGAATTCCAGAGTTTATCAAGACATTTTGCAGGAAAACGTACGACCATCTGTCCGCCAACTGAAGCTCCGCAGAGGATGGGTGATGCAACAGGACAATGACCCAAAGCATACAAGTAATTCAACAAAACAATGGCTGCAACAGCACAGAATACGCCTTCTGGAGTGGCCCAGTCAGAGTCCTGACCTCAACCCCATTGAAATGCTGTGGCATGACCTTAAGAGAGCGATTCACACCAGACATCCCAAGAATATTGCTACACTGAAACAGTTTTGTGAAGAGGAGTGGTCCAAAATGACTCCAGATCGTTGTGCAGGTCTGATCTGCAACTACAGGAAACGTTTGGTTGAGGTTATTGCTGCCAAAGGAGGGTCAACCAGTTATTAAGTCCAAAGGTTCACATACTTTTTCCTCCCTGCACTGTGAATGTTTACATGTTATGTGCAATTAAACCATGGCAACATCTAATGTTTGTGTAGTATTATGTTCAGCAGACTGTGTTCTTCTATTGTTGTGACTTAGATGACGTTCAGAGCACATTTTATGCCCAATTCATGCAAAACTCCACGTAATCCCAAGGGGTTCACATACTTTTTCTTGCAACTGTATACGTGATTTTGCATTTCCGGGTAGGGGGCGTGCGCGTCATCCCGCTTCCAGCTGTCAATCACCGGGTCCCGGCCGGTTATTACTCATTGGCGCTTGGTGCTTTCCGAAGATCTCCGACGGGGAGGAGAACTCTTGTTTACCAACAGTTCTCCTCAGTAGCGTATTTAGGTTTTGTGCTGCCTTAGGCAACATAAAAACCGTCTGCCCCCACGGACACCAAACAACAGCACCTCCCCTGCCCCCTCCCGCGGAGAGACCCTGACAATGCTGACATTGACCCCTGTCCCCCACCCGGAAGAGCCTTTCACTACCCCCCCGCGATAGAGAAAAAGACACTCATCTTCACAGCTCCCCAGTAGCGAGAGTCAGGCTCTACATACACCATCAACCATCCCGCAGCCCAGGGGCGGACTGACAACTCATGGGGCCCCTGGGCAATAAGGGATCATGGGGCCCTTGTGTCCTTGCCCAAACTCAAAAAAGCCTATGAAAAAGGTACCAGGGGCATCTCATGGGGCCCCCTACTGACCCCGGGCCCTCGGGCAGTGCCTGAGTTTCCAAATGGTCAGTCCGCCCCTGCTGCGGCCTCTATCGGATCCCACCTGGTTCCCATGGCAAGCGTGTCCCTTCTTTCATCCCTTCTTCTGGGGGGAGGTGCTGCCCTTCTGAAAGCTGCCACCCTAGGCAAGTGCCTTGTTTCCCTTGTGGTAAATACGCCCCTGGTTCTCCCTGTCAGCTCAGGCACACTAAGGAAACTGGCAGTAAAGTCTTGCAGCTTCACAGCCGGGTTCCTACTGCACATGCGCTTTGTGAAAGCGACGCAGTCTTCTGGGACTTGTGACGTGTCCCAGAAGGCTATGGGGAAAGGGGGGGGGGCGGAGGTGGAAAGAGGGGCAAACTGAGCTGGAAGTGGGAGCAGGTACCAGTCAAAAAGTGTCAAATGTGGCAGAAGAGGGGGGGGGGGGGCAGACAAGCGGAGATACCCCCCTTTTGGGTGCAATTCCGCTTTTAACTGTTTTTGTTTCTCACTTCCTTATCAATCTTATATTTTCATCATTTCCTTTACAGTGTGTTTACTTTTAAAAAGAAAAATTCCTCGGATGGGTCCGTAGTAACCAGCTTCGTTCACACAAATCGGCAAATACCACTGAAGGATAAGAATGTCAATGTTGGCCCAGAACAGTCCTCTGTGAAGGACATCCCAGCACCTTCCAAATCCAAAGAGGCAAGTAAGCGCAATACATTCTTCACTCCCATCTGTGCGAAACTTCCAGAACCTTCCGCACCTCTGCTTCCAGCAAAGACTGGCCAGCACAATTCAGCTGAGACCAGCAAATTTAATCTTCTCTTCACACCCGTTCATAGCAATCCCCCAGAACCTTCTCCACCATTGCTTCCTGCAAAACCTGTCCAGCGGAGTTCTAATGGAAAGACTGAGACCTTCGGGAAAGTGGACTCTCTTCCTAGGAAACCCGCCTGCAATACATCTCTCAGCTCCACTCTCAGCCTGGAGGAATGGGATGATATCAATGATTTTGACACATCTGTATCTCCCCCCAAGAGCCAGTTATGGACATTCGGAAAAACACCAGAGAAATGCAGCAAGAGGCCCAACGTGACGTCTCCTAAATCTCAGACACCTGAAGTGACGTCGCCTGTAAATAAAGAGCATGTGAAAAACTGTGTGGATGAACCGCTTGATGTGCCTTCTATTTCCACTCCCTGTGCAGAGAGTACAAAGACGGGTTCAGGTCAGTGGTTTATTAAAGTGTTACTAAACCCACAACAGTACAATCAGTCTGTAGATGCAGTAAAGCGTGCTTGTTATACTAACTGTGGAACCTAAGGGGTTAATCCTCCGCATTGTGGAAAAAGGCTGTTTGATCTTGTCTTATATGATCCTCCCCTTCTCCCAGTGTCCCCCTCTTTTCTCCTGATAATAAATGTGTGGAGACGCTCTGCACATGCTCAGTTTTGGTGTGTATTGCTAGAGAGGCTTTTTTCTTGGGAGAGTGCATGTGATCAGCACAGGGCCAATCGGCACTGTCCAGACAGAGATCAGGGATTCTTCATCCTCCTAGAACAAAATGAAAACTCCTCCTACAAACTTTAACTAGTTCTCTGCTGGACACTGATAGAAATCAGAAGACTGCTATATACTGCTAAGAAAAGGTATTTAGCAGTTTATATTTACTAAAATAATTGCATTTCCATGTTCTGTGTACTGTGGGAGAAAGATATAGTGAATGCGGGGTCCGGGTAGAGCGGATATAGTGAATGCGGGGTTCCGGGATATAGAACAGATATATAGTGAATGCGGGGTCGTCGCCTGGGTAGGGGAGCGCGATATAGTGAATGCCGGGTCCGGGGGTCCGAACAGATATAGTGGACGCGGGGTCCGGGGAGCGGATCCGGGGAGAGCGGATATAGTGAACGCGGGGTCCGGGGAGAGCGGATATAGTGGACGCGGGGTCCCGGGAGAGCGGATATAGGGAGAGCGGATATATAGTTGGACAGCGGGGTGGGGAATGCAGAGCGGGGTCCGGGGTCCGGGGAGAGCGGATATAGTGGACGCGGGGTCGGGGTCGCGGGGAGAGCGGATATAGTGGACGCGGGGTCCGGGGAGAGCGGATATAGTGGACGCGGGGTGGGGAGAGCGGATATAGTGGACGCGGGGTCCGGGGAGAGCGGATATAGTGGACGCGGGGATATCGCGGGGAGAGCGGTGGACGCGGGGTCCGGGGATATAGTGGACGCGCGGGGATAGTGGAGTCGGGGAGAGCGGATATAGTGGGACGCGGGGTCCGGGGAGAGCGGATATAGTGGACGCGGGGTCCGGGGAGAGCGGATATAGAGCGGGGTCCGGGGAGAGCGGATATAGTGGACGCGGGGTCCGGGGAGAGCGGATATAGTGGACGCGGGGTCCGGGAGGGTGGACGCGGGGTCCGGGGAGAGGGGTCCGGGGAGAGCGGATATAGTGGACGCGGGGTCCGGGGAAGAGCGGGATAGTGGACGCGGGGTCCGGGGAGAGCGGATATAGTGGACGCGGGGTCCGTGGAGAGCGGATATAGTGGACGCGGGGTCCGGGAGAGCGGATATAGTGGACGCGGGGTCCGACGGATATAGTGGGTGACCGGATATAGTGGACGCGGGGTCCGGGAGAGCGGATATAGTGGACGCGGGGTCAGAGCGTATAGTGGACGCGGGTCCGGGGTCCGGGGGTCCGAGTGCGGATATAGTGGACGCGGGGTCCGACGGATATAGTGGACGCGGGGTCCGGGGAGAGGGTGAGTGCGGACAGGGTGACCGCGGGGTCCGGCGAGTGCGGACAGGGTGACCGCGGGGTCCGGCGAGTGCGGACAGGGTGACCGCGGGGTCCGGCGAGTGCGGACAGGGTGACCGCATTAACATGTTAATGTAATTTTAATACTGATTTTCAATATTTTTAAATCATCAGCTTTCATTAACCCCTCGCCCTCCAGAGGATTTTCCCCCCTTCCTGACCAGGCTATTTTTTGTTATATACGGCGCTGCGCTAATTGCGCGGTCATGCAACGCTGCACCCAAATGACATGTACGTCCTTTATTCCCACGAATAGAGCTTTCTTTCGGTGGTATTTGATGTCCTGTGCGGTTTTTAAATTTTTGCTCTATAAACCAAAAAAGATCCAACAATTTTGAAAAAAACTATTTTTGACTATTAAATATGTCCAGTAAAATATCTAATTTCGTAATAAATTTAGGCCACAATGTAGGTATTCTGCTCCATGTTTTTTTTCGGGTAGGAAATATGGATAGTGCAGGAACCCACAGACCTTTACGGGTTACGGCATCTCCTGTTGCGTTTTTCATAATCTCTAAAATAAATATAGATGATCGGACGCCCTCATAATGACCACAGCAGGAACCTTCACCGATGGAGCCCATGAAACCTCTGTCTAAGGGCTCCATGTACACGGGACGTTTGGAAAACACTTCTGAACGATGGAAACTGACTGCTGGAAAACGTAGGTTAAAAAAAACATCTGTTTAGCCGGGTTTGCATACCGCGTTTAGCTGCGTTTATGAGCATTTATGTGTGTTTATGAGAGTTTGCGTTCAGAAGCGTTTTTAAAAGCTAACCTCAGCAGACTTTCCCAAATGCCCAGAATGCACTGATAAGTAGTAAATAACTATTTCAGACATTTTGAGAGAAGCAGAGAGAGCAGTATGTGTGAGATGACCGGTCTTTTCTGGTTGTAGTCACTTTGGATCCCATAATGAGCATAATGCGGCGCGTTCTGCCATTTTTTTTCCTTCACGCGAAACCTGCAACTGACTGCGTTGGTGTGCCGGGTCCATTTGAATACATGGAAAACGCTTTGCATGCATTTCTGATGATGAAACAAGGCTCCGGACAGCATCTGGATACGGAACAGTTAAAAAAAAACGCTTCAAAGCGCAAACGCTTATAAATGCGGTTAACCACGTTTACACGTGTTTAAAAGCATTTGAAACGCCGGTAAAATCTACTCCTGAACGCAAATTTGGTGCTTTAACCTCCTTAGCGGTATTCCCGAGTTTATCTCGGGGTAAAATTTGAGTGCCAAGAGCGGTAACCCCCCCGAGCTACACTCGGGCTTACCATGCGGCGTTGCTCAGGGGGTCCCTGCAGCACTTAACCTTGTCCTTCGCTCCCGCGATGTGTCCCCCTGCAGCGTCCCCGGCCATCTCCTCCGCCCGATGTCGGCATCCTGTTTCCATGTTCCGGTCCCTGTGACATCGGGACTTACGGGCGCCGGAACCGGCAGCAAATTTGAAATTTTTAAAAAAAATGTCATTTTTTTTTTTTTAAATGATTATCACATAGTATTCCATTCCTGTTTCAAACCATTTCACATACATTTTGTCCCGAGTGCTTTGTCCGGCGCCCTGCCTGCATTTTTACTGTTCTTTCTGCCTGGAAACTGAGAAACGTCCATGGCGTCCAAAAAGTGTCCCTTTAGGTCAGACGCGGTTTTAGACCGGCTAGAGAACAGCGATAGTAAATCAGAACCACTTGCAGAATTGAGTGATAATGATTGGTGGGGGAAATTCCTCATCAGACACTGAAAACAATTCTGCGACTGAGCTCAGCGATGTGCGAACTTGGCGCTCTATTTCACATTTCAGTGTTTTTGGTTTGATTATATTATTGAATTACATTTATTATTATTATTATATTTTTTATGATTATTTATTAAATTATAATTTATGATTTCGTGTTTCAAATTTTATCCTCCCCGGGATGTTTACTAGACTCTTGTCCAGACGGATTTCAGGGAGTTATTCCTAAGAATTACAGCCTACAATAAAAAACGACATATTTCCATGCAAAAAAATGTACCGCTTTCAGCACAAAAAATCGGAAAGAATCAGACCGCCAGGGAGGTTAAAAAAAAAAACGACTGTAAACTCAACTGCCTGTAGACATCTCTGTGTACACGGACACATAGGAGAACATTAGGGAGAGTTCAGGGGCTGCTGAAAAAAAACACAGAGCAGCTCCTGAACGTCAGTTTATCATCTGCAGTGTACATGAGCCCTTAGAATTACGTTTTTTACAGCATTAATATGGGTTACGTAACTTTTAGGTTTTACAGATATGGAAAGTCTGTACCAAAACTAATATGTAAAGGTGCACCACTCCCCACTCCAAAAAATCCTCATTCATGGGGGTTGATTTACTAAAGCTGGAGAGTGCAAAATCTGGTGCCGTTCTGCACGGGAGCCAATCGGCTTCTAACTTCAGCTTGTTCAATGAAAGGATAAGTTCACCTTTGGGAACATGTTACATGTTCCACACGTTTTTAGGGTTCCCATTGCTGAAGCTGCCGCCCGCTGCCCTCCCCCTGTGACTGAAGTACAGGGAGAAGTTTCCCGTACAAGCTGTCACTTTTTAAAAATGGCGCAGTTCTGCAGGGCTCCACCCACACAGCCGCGGCATTCAGAGTTCTACAAACAAATGAAGTACAAGTCTCGACAGCCTTAGTGGCTGTTGGATTGTAATTCTCCATGAACTACCACGGCCAGGGGTGCATTTACCACAAGGCAAACAAGGCACCTGCCTAGGGCGGCATCTTTCAAGGGGGCAGCACCTCCCCCCAGAAGAAGGGGTGAAAGAAGGGACAGGCGCACCATGGGAACCAGGTGGGATCCGAGAGAGGCTGGGGGCTGCTTGATGGTGTATGCAGAGCCCGACTCTCGTTCCTGAGGATGTCCAGAGTCGTGAAGATGAGTGTCTCTCTGTCATGGGGGGGGGGGGGGGGGTAGGATAGTGGAAGGCTCTCTTGGGTGGGGGGTAGGGGTGTTGTTGGTCATTGTCAGGCTTCTTTCTCCGCAGGAGAGGGGAAGGGGGGGTTGTGTTGGTTGGTGTCTGTGGGGGCAGACGATTTTGTTGCCTAGGGCAGCACAAAACCTAAATACACCCCTGACCGTGGCTCTGTGGAGCACCGTGGCAGTTCATGGAGTCTCCCTGTCAGTGTGTCTGCTACATCCCGTATGGACGATCTACTGACAGATCTGCAGAAAACCTGCATGGCACCCGTGATCTGATGATTTACAGGCTCCTGCAACAAAAAATAATAAATACACTTTTTTTTTTTTTTTTTTTTACCTGCAAAAAATGTGCATTTATTATTTTTTTTCTCAAAAGGTGAACATATATTATTATTATTATAAAGTATTTATATAGCGCCAAAGGGTATGCTCAGCGCTGTACAATAGCGAGGGGAACAGAACATGAGACAGTACAGTAACAATACAATACACGAGGGGTTCGAGGGCCCTGGTCCTTGGAGCTTACAATCTAGGAGGGAGGGGAAGGTGGCACAAGAGGAGATAGCTGTGGGGGATGGAGTGGTTGGAGGAGTGGAGGAGGTTAGTTGTTAGGTGAGGTCAGGTGTTAGGTGAGGTTGGGGTAGGCTTCCCTGAAGAGGAGGGTTTTCAGGGTGCGCCTGAAGGTGAGGAGGGTAGGTGACAGTCTGATGGATTGGGGTAGGGAGTTCCAGAGGATGGGGGAAGTCCTGGAGAATCTTTTTCGGTTTGACAAAAAAAACCTGGAAGCTGATTGGTTTCTATGCTGAGCTGCAACCAGATTTTGCACCCTCCAGTTTTAGTAAATCTCCCCCCCCCCCCCCCATGGTGTTTCTTATACAGTATATTGCACTCTTGCAGTCCGGGAACTACAAAATATCTACCATGGGTTACACAACTCGAGGAATACAGGCGTACTACCTCCCATATCCATGTAAAATACAAAAACAATTACCATATCTAAAAAGCACAGATAGGTAAGTGAGCGCTAAAACGACTAAGCTGCTGAAACACCAAAAGGTACCAAAAAAGCCTTCCAAAGCATCAATATAAAAATGGGTGCAGCGTTAAATATATATTACACAATAAAAAGTGTCAAATGCAATAATCAAATAAATATTCAGTTCAATATAAAGTGACTGGTGATGTGCAACAAGGTGGTATTGTAACAACCATAAAGTTATGCGTGATTTGATTGCGCATCTGGTGAGTGTGCAATTCTTATATTATCGGGCACATCACCATACCAATGGATAGATGTTATTGATCACCAGCAATTGAAGATCATCATTGGATCTTCCATACATCACCTTTACGGACATTTAACCATTTATATCAGCACTTTATTTAGCACCTGTGGTCACTTTACGGTGACAAAGATTTATGTTATCACTTCATCGCTTTAGCGATCTTGTCTCTAAATATCACCCAAGCCGTACTCTCCGCTCCTCGCAAGACCTCCTACTCTCTAGCTCTCTTGTCTCCTTCCTCCCATGCTCCTCTCCAGGACTTCTGCAGACTTCCCCCATCCTCTGGAACTCTCTACCCCAATTTATCAGACTATCGCCTACTCTGCTCACTTTTAGGCAATCTCTGAAAACCGATCTCTTCAGGGAAGCCAATCCTGCCCTCAGCTAATAACGGAATCTTCTATTCCTCCTACCAGTCCATCCCCCCAGTTATTACCTTTTGTACCACTAGCCCCTCCCTCCTAGATTGTAAGCTCCCAGGATCAGGGCCCTCCTAACCCTCTTGTATTGATCTGTATTGTTGCTGTATTGTCTCCCGGTGTATTGTACAGCGCTGAGCAAACTGTTGGCGCTATAAATCCTGTATAATAATAATAATAATCCTGTATAATAATAATAATAATAATCCTGTATAATAATAATAATATAAATCCTGTATAATAATAATAATAAATATAAATCCTGTATAATAATAATAAATCCTGTATAATAATAATATAAATCCTGTATAATAATAATAATAATAATAATAAATCCTGTATAATAATAATAAATCCTGTATATAATAATAAATCCTGTATAATAATAATAATATAAATCCTGTATAATAATAATAATAATAATAATAAATCCTGTATAATAATAATATAAAATCCTGTATAATAATAATATAAATCCTGTAATAATAATCCTGTAAATAATAATAATCCTGTATAATAATAATAATAATATAAATCCTGTATAATAATAATATAAATCCTGTATAATAATAATATAATAATAAAATAAATCCTGTATAATAATAATAATAATATAAATCCTGTATAATAATAATAATATAAATCCTGTATAATAATAATAATAATAATAAATCCTGTATAATAATAATATAAATCCTGTATAATAATAATATATAAATCCTGTATAATAATAATATAAATCCTGTATAATAATAATAAAATCCTGTATAATAATAATAATAATTCCTGTATAATAATAATAATATAAATCCTGTATAATAATAATAAATCCTGTATAATAATAATATAAATCCTGTATAATAATAATAATAATAAATAAAATAAATCCTGTATAATAATAATAATAATATAAATCCTGTATAATAATAATATATAATCCTGTATAATAATAATAATATAAATCCTGTATAATAATAATAATAATAAATATAATAATAATAATAATAATAAAATCCTGTATAATAATAATATAAATCCTGTATAATAATAATAATAATATCACTTTATGGTTGTTACAATACCACCTTGTTGCACATCACCAGTCACTTTATATTGAACTGAATATTTATTTATTTGATGATTGCATTTGACACTTTTTATTGTGTAATATATATTTAGCGCTGCACCCATTTTTATATTCATTACCACATCTCCTCATCGTGATACAAATATAAATACACGGGAGATCTTCTGTACTGGTCATCTCTGTTAATTCATTCTTTGTGGATTTTTCAGATAAAGGCTCAGATGATCCCAGTGTGGTGGTCTGTGATGACGTCATTGAGCCCGAAGAAATAAATGACGATAATGAGTGCGATATTGATTATATCCCCCCGTCTCCTACAGATAGCACCCTGCCCTCTCCTCCTGTGCTCAGAGGAATCTGGTAAGAATGATATCAATGTACGGGATGCAGTTAGTCACGCCTAGACGCAAAACGAATACGGTTTTAGCTAGTTTTCTAACCTTGTTTTGGTCGAGCAAATGATCCATTATACGGACCGCGTTGTTATTTCTGTATTGCGTTCAGACTATCCTCCAGTTTTTATTAGGATCTATGTACATGGGGAGTTTCGAAAACACTTTTGACTGCTGGAAAACGTAGGATGAAAAACATCAGTTTAGCCGCGTTTATGCACGTTTGCATTTAGAAGCGTTTTTTTTTTTTCAAGATAACCATTTTTGCTTGCACCCGATTGGATGATGGAAGTCAGCAGAGCATTTAGTAAGCTCTGGAGCAGCTGCACTTCCAAAATGCTCAGACTATGTGCCTTTAGTAAATCCACCCCAAAGTGACACACTGGCCAGCTTCGAGCTGTTGCAGGGCTGGGAGTCTCTACTAAGATTCCATGTACACGGGACACTTCTGAACGATTGATACTGACTGCTGGAAAACGTAGGTTAAATAACGTCAGTTTAGCCGCGTTTGCATACCATGTTTATGCGCGTTTGCGTTTAAAAGCGTTTTTTTTAAAGATAACCTCAGGCGATCTTCCAAAATGCCTAGAATGCACTGAAAAATAGTAAACAATTAACTATTTCAGACATTTTAAGAGGAATAGAGAGAGCAGAAGCTGGGAGAGCAGAAGCGGGGTGGGCAGAAGCGGGGGAGGGCAGAAGCGGAGAGGGCAGAAGCGGAGAGGGCAGAAGCGGGGAGGGCAGAAGCGGGGAGAGCAGAAGCGGGGAGGGCAGAAGCGGGGGAGCAGAAGCGGGGTGGGCAGAAGCGGGGTGGGCAGAAGCGGAGAGAGCAGAAGCGGGGTGGGCAGAAGCGGGGTGGGCAGAAGCGGAGAGGGCAGAAGCGGGAGAGGCAGAAGCGGGGAGAGCAGAAGCGGAGAGGCAGAAGCGGGAGGGCAGAAGCGGAGAGGGCAGAAGCGGAGAGAGCAGAAGCGGAGGAGAGCAGAAGTGGGAGTGGGCAGAAGCGGAGAGAGCAGAAGCGGGGTGGGCAGAAGCGGAGAGAGCGGGGTGGGCAGAAGCGGGAGAGGCAGAAGCGGGGAGGCAGAAGCGGAGAGGGCAGAAGCGCGGGGTGGGCAGAAGCGCAGGGAGGGCAGAAGCGCGGGGAGGGCAGAAGCGCGGGGTGGGCAGAAGCGGGGTGGGCAGAAGCGGGGAGGGCAGAAGCGGGGAGAGCAGAATTTGTGGAGATGACCGGTCTTTTTCTGGTTGAATTCACTATGGATCTCATCATGAGGATAATGCGGCACGTTCAACCATTTTTTTTTTTTCCTTCACGCAAAACCTGGAACTGACTGCGCTGGTGTACCGGGTCCATTTGAATACACGGAAAACACTTTGCATGCATTTCTGATGATGAAAAAAGGCTCCGGACAGCATCTGGATATTGGACGATTATGACACTTCCACTCTGTATAAATTCAAATATCACATAAAAATGAAAAGCAACAAAAAAAGCAGCCAGCACAATGTCGCGGGTAACAATACACAAAACATATAAAACAGATATGGCACTATAAATAAAAAAAAATAAATGAAAATATAAACAATAAAAAAACATAAAAAGTCCAATAGTTTCCAGCAAAAATTAAAAATCTCTCATAAGGAATCTAAATTTAAAAAAATTCAAGAAAGACTATGGGAGTCCATCAACACCGTCACCTCTGAAAATACTGCCCCTTACCAGACTGAGGTGACCCCACAATTAAGTGAGAGTCAAGAAAAGCGTAGTACGGATATCAAATTTGGATGGCAAACTCCGAAATTTCTTACTCTGGAGGGATGGTTTCCAAGCACGGGATATAGACAAATGCCTGTTGGATCTCTTTCAATGGATTCCCACATCAATGCATTGACTCCAACTGATATTCCAGGTAATATTGCCAGATGTAGACCTAAAGAAATGAATTAAAGAGGACAAAATCATCCAAAAAGCAAAAGAATCCTCATAGTGTAGCATAATTAGAAGGACTTATTGCCTTACAACGTAGTATTAAACGTACATTATTATTATTATACAGTATTTATAAAGCGCCAATAGTTCGCTCAGCGCTGTACATTACAAAGGGGACAGAACAATACCAATACAATGCAAAACATGAGGGGATCGAGGGCCCTGCTCCTTGGAGCTTACAATCTAGGAGGGAGGGGATGGTGGTACAGGAGGAGATAGCTGTGGGGGATGGGGTGGTAGGAAGAGTGGAGGAGGTCGGCAGGTTAGCAGGGGGTGGGGTAGGCTTCCCTGAAGAGGTGGGTTTTCAGGATATGCCTAAAGGAGAGGAGAGTAGGTGATAATCTGATGGGTTGGGGCCAGGGAGTTCCAGAGGATGGGTGACACCCTGGAGAAGTCCTGGAGGCGGGCATGGGAGGAGGAGACCAGGGAACTAGAGAGAAGGAGGTCTTGTGAGGAGCGGAGTGTGCGTGTTGGGTGGTACTTGGATATTAGGTCAGTGATGTAGTTCGGGGCAGTATGGTGGACGGCTTTGTACGTCAGTGTTAGGATTTTGAATTTGATCCGTTGCGCAATCGGAAGCCAGTGGAGGGATTGGCAGAGGGGGGGCGGACACTGGTGAGGCGGAGGGATTGGAGTGGGGGGTGGCGGAATGAAAAAAGAAGAGTCTGGTAGCCGTATTCAGGATCGACTGAAGCGGGGATAGCCAGCTTCAAATCATCAAAAAAGATTTAAAACAGCATGTCACCATATAACCAAACTGTATGTTTCTAACCAACAAGATGGCCGCCACGTTCCGGTGCGTACTGACGTCACGCGCTCTGGCTCCTTCAAACGCGTTTCGTCATCTGTGACGTCTTCAGGGGCACAGTCAACATGCAAACACAATGCCTATATATAGGAAGGAGAGAGCCAGCTCCTCCCCTATTTCAATTAAGGCTGATACCGGAACGGGAAAGGACGCTAGGCACTGAAGCCAGACGCCCATAAATAATGCCAGTGTCGGTGTCCCGTAAATCGAAATATGCGGGACATTTGAAACTAGAAACCAACAAGCATTACGACAAATTAACTCTAGACCCATCAAAGGGATGATGAAACAGTTAAAAAACGCTTCTAAACGCAAACACTTAAAAAAGCAGTTAGCCGCGCTTGCAAGCATTTGGCATTTGAAACGCTGATCAAAACTACTCCTGAGTTTGTTTGGTACGTTCAAAAAAAACAACTGTAAACTCAACTGCCTGAAAATGACGATGTGTACACGGACACATAGGAAGACATTAGGGAGGGTTCAGGGGCTGCTGAAAAAAATGCAGAACATCTCCTAAACGTGAGTTTATCATCTGCAGTGTACACGAGGCCTTATTGTTATAATTTGTTTCTGGTACAATCATTTTTATTGTTGCAACAAAGAGAAAACTTACAATAGATCACCCATGCAGGGGAAAATTAGGTAAGCATGAGCGAAATAATGTGCGACAATTGTTTACTGTAGGTTTGGCAATGGGCAACCGCACAAACAAAGTCGCCGTTCTACACGTGTTCCCTGGGCCCGAGGGTTCAGGGATATACCAATAACTAACAAAAGTAAAGAAGGGGAAGGGTAGCGATCCGACATGCCAGTCCTGCTGGGGGGGGGGGGGGGGGGTAAAGGAGGAAGAGGGAGAGGAGCAGAGAGACTGTAGCGGGAATAAAACTTAAAGCGGAGCTCCACCCAAAAGGGGAAGTTCCACTTTAATGCTCCCCATTAAGGATTGGCACCTTTAGGGGGCGGGGGGGGGGGGAGTGGGTACCCGAACTTGACAGATACCCGCTCCTACTTCCGGTCGGATCGCCTTGGTGATCGGAAACGGAAGGTGTCCTCCATCCCTCCCTCCCTGTAGTCTTTTGGGACACGTGACCGATCCCAGGACCATTCATGAAGCGCAGCGCTACTTGCACATGCTCAGTGGGCTCTCCAGCTGTTGCAGGACTACAAGTTCCATCATGCCTCTGCAAGTCATAGCTGTAACTGTCAGTTTTGTAATGTTGCAATGCCTCATGGGCAATGTATGCAATGTAGCTCCACAACAGCTAGAGAGCCGCCAGGTTGCCTACCCCTGACCTAGGCGAGCGGAAGGTATCCTCCCTCCCTGTAGTCTTTCGGGACACGTGACAGTCCCAGAAGACCACATGACCATTCGTGAAGCGCAGCGTTTCTCACACATGCGCAGTGGGTACCCAGCTGTGAAGCCGCAAGCTATCACCGCCGGGTGCCCACACTGAAGATGCCGGCCTCCTGGAATACAGGACGGCCAGTGAAACGGGCTGCGGGGGACACATCGCAGGACCGAGGGACAGGTAAGTGGCTGACTTTTAAAAGTCAGCAGCTACAGTTTTTGTAGCTGCTGACATTTTTTGACAGGTGAGTGGAACTCCGCTTTAAGAAGAGGAAGGGGAAGCTTCCTGCAGGCTTGGGTAGAGGTATCGGCTGTTAAAGGCCGCCAAGGCTGGTTGGGTGCACCGAGGCCAGGGCGTACGACTACCAGGCGGCTCCAACTTTCAGGATTTTGGCATGGGAGTCATGCAGGATGTTTGACATCTTTTTGTTTATCATAATGGTGGTCAGGTTGCCTTTCAGACCTGAAAACAAGACAGAGGGTGTCTTCCAAGCTCCAGCTATGACATCTTTTGTGGCAATAAACAAATAGGTGGCAAGTTATTGTAATAATTTTTTTTTCATTTTTAGCTCATTTAGGAAACAGTCAGGTTCTTCTGAGCCAGAGAAGGAAAATGCTGCAGAACATCAGCCAGACCAGAATACCTCTTCACAGGGTAGGAAAATGGTCAGCGTTTTAAAGATTTTATTTTCCGTAATTGTGGATATGCTAAAATGTGACTTCTTTTGGGCTCTATACAGTGCAGAGTATCATGTCCTCTCAGCTCTGGTCTGTGATGATGGAGATCTGTGATCTGGTGGATGGGATTCCTGCGTCTGAGCTGCAGCGACTGTCATGCGGGAAGGATCTTGAGAAGAAGAGGGACATGAGGTAACTGGCAAACGAAGGGACACGGTACAAAAAACAATGCAAAAAAATTGAAAAAGTTATTCAGATTAACCCCTTGCCTAACGGGCACTTCTACCCCCTTCCTGCCTACCGGGCGCTTCTACCCCCTTCCTGCCTACCGGGCGCTTCTACCCCCTTCCTGCCTACCGGGCGCTTCTACCCCCTTCCTGCCTACCGGGCACTTCTACCCCCTTCCTGCCTACTGCGGGCACTTCTACCCCCTTCCTGCCTACAGGGCACTTCTACCCCCTTCCTGCCTACAGGGCACTTCTACCCCCTTCCTGCCTACAGGGCACTTCTACCCCCTTCCTGCCTACAGGACACTTCTACCCCCTTCCTGCCCACCGGGCACTCCTACCCCCTTCCTGCCCACCGGGCACTCCTACCCCCTTCCTGCCTACGGGCACCCCCTTCCTGCCTACCGGGCACCTCGTTCCTCCCTACCGGGCACTTCTGCCCCCTTCCTGCCAACCGGGCACTTCTACCCCCTTCCTGCCCACCGGGCACTTCTACCCCCTTCCTGCCCACCGGGCACTTCTACCCCCTTCCTACCCCCCCTGCTTCCTTACCGGGCACCCCCTTCCTGCCTACCGGGCACTTCTACCCCCTTCCTGCCTACCGGGCACTTCTACCCCCTTCCTGCCAACCGGGCACTTCTACCCCCTTCCTGCCTACCGGGCACTTCTACCCCCTTCCTGCCTACCGGGCACTTCTACCCCCTTCCTGCCTACAGGGCACTTCTACCCCCTTCCTGCCTACAGGACACTTCTACCCCCTTCCTGCCTACCGGGCACGTCTACCCCCTCCTGCCTACAGGGCACTTCTACCCCCTTCCTGCCTACCGGGCACTTCCCCCCTTCCTGCCTACCGGGCACTTCTACCCCCTTCCTGCCCAGACCAATTTTCAGCTTTCAGCGCTGTCGCACTTTGAATGACAATTGCGCGGTCATGCAACACTGTATCCATATGACATTTTTATCTTTTTTTCACACCAATAGAGCTTTCTTTTGGTGGTATTTAATCGCCTCTGGGTGTTTTATTTTTTGCACTATAAACAAAAAGAGCAAAAAAAAAAAGTTATATTTTTTTTTCTGTTTTCTGAAATAAAATTTTGCAAACAAGTAATTTTTCTCCTTCACTGAGGTGTGTTGATGAGGCTGCACTGATGGGCACTGATAGGCAGCACTGCTCGGCACAGGTGGGCGGCACTGCTGGGCACTGATGATCGGTGCCAATCGATCCCTTCGCTGACAATTGCCGGTTCTCGGCAGTACTTTCCTCACGCTGTGGCAGCGTGAGGAAAGTGCAGCCGATAACGAAATCCTGCTGAATGATAGGGGATCAAATACTTATTTTCCTCATGAACATGCAGATCCGTCATCATTTGTTAGACATGCTTTTCTTTTGATTTTTTTATTGCTATTCTGTCTCTCAGTGTTACAATACACCGAACATTCCATTTTTAGACCGATTTCATTTCTGTGTGAGGAGCAAACATTCAACATCAGCAGGGGAGCAAATACGCATTTCCTTCACTGTAGGTCTAGGATACACCAGCAGAATAATTCTGCCTTCACCTGGGGTGTTCACAGACCTTTAGAGGTTATGGCATTTCCTGTTGCATTTTTCATAATCTCTAAAATAAATATAGATGATCGGACCCCCTCATAATGACCACAGCAGGAACCTTTACCGATGGAGCCCATGAAACCTCTGTTTAACTTTTCAGCAACTGACGAAAATTCTGAGATCATTTTTGTGCATCCTGACCTTTTAAAGTCCAAAGAACCTCCATTTTATTTCATAGTTTTAGCTTTGTTTTCTATTTGCAAGGCATTTTACCTTTTCGATGCAGAAGGCTAGAACATGATACATGTCCGTCACGTTTACCTTTGTCTTTTCTTTGGCAGGAAACGTCTTTTGTCAGATTCCTCGGGACAGAAGACTTGTGTGATGGAAGGGCCTGCGTTGTCACCTTCTCCTAGAATGTCTTCTGCTAAAACCGATGATTCCATACAAAGCTCTGTGCTCACGCTGGCTGCAGACTCTTCCTCTCATCGATGGTCAGGGAATGTGTTTAAATTCAAGTCATTTGGTACTTCAGACAAGAAGATCCGAGACAGTTCTTTGGATGGAAGCACCAAATTTGGGAGCCAGACAGAGCTGAAAGCGTCATTTCATTGTCCGTTAGTTGATACGACAACAAGGGACTCTTTCAGTCTTCAGGATTCTGTGTTCTATGATAGCAAATTCAACACGCCACATAATCAGAAACCAGTCACCTCCAGCACATGTGCACGACCATCTGCCCCTCCCCCACAGATCCTGGGCAATGATGACCTGGACTTTGATATAGACAATTTTGATATTGATGACTTTGATGATGATGATGTCCAGTGCATTGACAGCCCAGTGGCACCAACTGCTAGCAAAGCTGTGCCACCGGCATATCCTGCAATACGAGAGGCATCACCCATTACAAACAGTAACTTCAGCGCTGTAAAAGCTCCCGCTAACAAAAGTCACAACTTTGGCTCATCAGGTGGGTGTGTTATGTTGTTAAATCGTATTGAAGAATGTCATGCTTTTGCCACGCGTAAAAACCCTTTGTACACACTGCGCAAAAGACGATTCACACGCACACGCCGGTATCGTCACCTTCTTTACCCAAACTAAAAGAAATATCTTTGTTACCTTTTGGGTACACAGTACTGATGTATGATCATCGGATATTCGTAGCATAAGAAACGCTAGGGTGAGCGGTTTATAGCACGTGGATTTGCGCTTACATGTACACATGCCCATGTGTTTGCTTTCTGTTCTGAATGGAAATACATTGTTTACATACAGGATACATTCTATAATTGTATACATACAGGATACCTTCAATAATTGTATACATACAGGTTACATTCTATAATTGTATACATACAGGATACCTTCAATAATTGTATACATACGGATACATTCTATAATTGTATACATACAGGATACCTTCAATAATTGTATACATACGGGATACATTCTATAATTGTATACATACAGGATACCTTCAATAATTGTATACATACGGGATACATTCTATAATTGTTGTATACATACAGGATACATTCTATAATTGTATACATACAGGATACATTCTATAATTGTATACATACAGGAGACATTCTATAATTGTATACATACAGGAGACATTCTATAATTGTATACATACAGGATACCTTCAATAATTGTATACATACAGGATACATTCTATAATTGTATACATACAGGATACATTCTATAATTGTATACATACAGGATACCTTCAATAATTGTATTACATACAGGATACATTCTATAATTGTATACATACAGGATACATTCTATAATTGTATACATACAGGATACATTCTATAATTGTATACATACAGGATACCTTCAATAATTGTATACATACAGGATACATTCTATAATTGTATACATACAGGATACATTCTATAATTGTATACATACAGGATACATTCTATAATTGTATACATACAGGACACATTCTATAATTGTATACATACAGGAGACATTCTATAATTGTATATACAGGACATACACAGGATACATTCTATAATTGTATACATACAGGATCATTCTATAATTGTATACATAAGGATACATTCTATAATTGTATACATACAGGATACATTCTATATTGTATACATACAGGATACCTTCTACAATTGGATACAGGATTCATTCTATAATTGTATACATACAGGATACATTCTATAATTGTATACATACAGGATACATTCTATAATTGTATACATACAGGACACATTCTATAATTGTATACATACAGGATACATTCTATAATTGTATACATACATTCTATACATTCTATAATTGTATACATACAGGATACATTCTATAATTGTATACATACAGGATACTATTCTATAATTGTATACATACAGGATACATATAATTGTATACATACAGGATACATTCTATAATTGTATACATACAGGATACATTCTATAATTGTATACATACAGGATACATTCATACATCATAATTGTATACATACAGGATACATTCAATAATTGTATACATACAGGATACATTCTATAATTGTATACATACAGGAATACATTCTATAATTGTATACATACAGGATTTCTATAACATATACATACAGGATACATTCTATAATTGTATACATACAGGACACATTCTATAATTGTATACATACAGGACACATTCTATAATTGTAATATACATACAGGATACATTCTATAATTGTATACATACAGGATACATTCTATAATACATTGTATACAGGATACAAAATTTGTATACATACAGGGAGACATTCTATAATTGTATACATACAGGATACATTCTATAATACATGTATACATACAGGATACATTCTATAATTGTATACATACAGGATACATTCTATAATTTGTATACATACAGGATACATTCTATAATACATTGTATACATACGGGAGACATTCTATATAATTGTATACATACAGGGATACATCATTGACAGTACACATGGATAATATACATTGTATACATACAGGATACATTCTATAATAATATTGTATACATACAGGATGCATTCTATAATACATACAGGATCATTCTAAAATACATTGTATACATACAGGATCCATTGGAGACATTCTATATACATTCTATAATACATTGTGTACGTACAGGATGCATTCTACAGGATCATTCTATAATACATTGTATACATACAGGATCCATTCTATAATACATTGTATACATACAGGATGACATTCTATAATACATTGTATACATACAGGAGACATTCCATATAGATTGCTTACATACAGGATTCTATAATACATTATCATAGGAGACATTAATCACAGGGGGATGTGGCAAGGTAGCCTGTTGCATACCTTTGCCAACCTTCACCTACCTGGTACATCAGCAGTCTTCAAGTGGTTGTACTGCCATGATAGCAGCAACTGCAGACATCATTCCAGTACCATCTTTTAGAGCTAACAATCAGCTTTCTTGTAATGGCAATCGGAGCGGCTAACTAGCCACTTGATTGCTATAACAAGTAGCGGAAGGGTTCCCCCACCCCTCTCCCTCCTGCCAGCTTCCACTTTCATCGGGGGCTCCTGTCCCACCTGGAGTCCCAGTTGACCAGCCGGCACTGACACAGGCTAGTCACGGAGCCGAACAAAGACCAGATCGGCCATTTTTTCGGTTCTGATATATAGGAGCCCAGAAGTAAAGACTTGACATCAATTCCAGTTTACTCTGATTTTCACAGCACCATTTTTAAAGGTAGGGTTTGTACAGAGTGGAGAGGGATTAGAACCCCTGTCAGTATTTTATTGCTGCCTGTGCCAAGTTATGAAGATTCACTCACTCTGTTTGTCATGTCTACCATTGCGAAAGTAAAAAACAATCCCAATTTTTGGGTTGCTTCCAGAACAGGGATAGAGGGGAAAATCTTCAATTGAGGACACTAGTTCTGTTGACAACCAGGGACTCGCTTTGGAGGGATTAATTCTCACTTCCTGTTTGGCTATGGGATAGGGAGTGAAGGGAAATCTCCCCAGTTGGACACAGATGGCAAAAAATACCTGGCAAATTATAACCCTCTCTCACGCATTCCAAAATGAAAAGAAAGTTTTGCTTTTATTCCTGCTTTAGGAGCTGTTTCATTTTAATTTTGAGTGATCCCCTTTGATTTTGTTTCTTTGTCTTATTTTTAGATTCATTCTTAAAACCTCCAATAGACAACCCTGCTCATGAAAGATTTCGGGGATACAACTTTCCTCACTCTAAAGAGATGATGAAAATTTTCCACAAAAAATTTGGGCTGCATCGCTTTCGTACCAACCAGCTGGAAGCCATCAATGCAACCCTGTGTGGGGAGGACTGCTTCATTCTCATGCCAACAGGTAAGGTATTTTCTGTCTTCATACTGTGAGAGACTTGAAGCTTTATGCAGGCCGTAGACGGGTCGAAAACCGTCCGTTTAAAAAAAAAAAAAAAAAAAACACGAAAAATTGGTCGTTCAATAGGCTGTTACCACCAACGGTAAAAAAAATCGGCCGATTTTCGTCCCGTCTACGGCCGGCATTTAATTACTTCTGTCCCTGCAGGGAGCTCCGCTATTATATTTGACATGAAAAAGTATTGCGGTTGCAGCAATGTATCCATTTGTATCCATTTCGGATACAGATGTTTTTATTCGGATACAAATAGATACATTGTTGCAACCGCAAGACTTTTTCATGTCAAATATAATAGCGGACTGGAATTCTTCTTTTTCTTCTCTTTCTTCTTCTTCCAGGTCACGGCTCATGTGCAGATTTTTTATCGGTAAAAAGATCGGCCGATTTGCCCATCATTGCCAGAAAAATCAGCCGATCAGCAAAATCAGCTAATTTTTTTCCAACTTCACCGATAAAATTGCCAAAACCCCAAAAAACGGCCGACCAATTAACCCACTAACGGTGCAAAAAATCGGCCGATTTCTTTTTCGGCCAAAAAATCGGCCGATTTTCGACCCATCTATGGCCTGCATTATTGTTTATTGGGCTAAGACATTCCACTTCTCTCATAAACAGCCTCTTTGGGCGTCTTCAGATGGGCGCTGAGACCTGTCCTCCATGTTGAGCTGTATGTGCATTCCACCTCGGAGCTGCGCACAAGCTGCCCTTAGAAGTGGATGCAGATGCGGTAGCTGCACAGATACCGAAGCATGTCAAAAGGTACACCAATCCGAACGTAGACATTTGGATCCAGGGGCAGACTGACAACTCATGGGGCCCCGGGCAATAGGGGATCATGCAGCCCCTGTGTCCTTGCCCACACTCAAACCACACCCAAAAAAGCCTATGAAAGGTACCAGGGGCATCTCATGGGGCACCCTACTGACCTCGGGCAGTGCCTGAGTACCCAAATGGTCAGTCTGCCCCTGTTTGGATCCATGCTCCTGCTCACATGACATGACTGTGTCCATGCAGCTGCTGCATCTGCATCTACTTCTGTGGGGTGCCTGCATGCATGACAACAAGTGTATATTTGTCTGAAAGTCTGAACGCCGTCGCCTCCTGGCCCTTCAGGGGTTTCTGATGCCGAGAGGCAGGGCAGGCTTTATGATCATGTGACCGCCGTGATTGGCTGTCACATGATCGGAAAGCTACCAGTCACTTTTTAGGCGCCGGTAACTGTGTCGGCAGCGCGCATGCTCTCGGCACAGGTTTGTTTACATTTTGATAGGCATATATGTGGCCTTTAGGCGTCAAGACCCACCCACCGAGAGGCCACATATTTGTGTACTGTTGGCGAGAAGGAGCTAAAGGATAAGTTCATCTTTGGACCATGGTATATATGTTTCACCCGTTTTTTATTTGTATTTTTCTTCAAAAGGTGAACGGGGAAAGGTGTGGGTGTGCTGCCTAGGCAACGGTCAGGGCATGGGGAAAGGTGTGTATGTGCTGCCTAGGCAACGGTCAGGGCACGGGGAAACATGGGTGTACTGCCTAGGCAACGGTCAGGGCACGGGGAAAGGTGTGTATGTGCTGCCTAGGCAACGGTCAGGGCACGGGGAAATGCGTGTATGTGCTGCCTAGGCAACGGTCAGGGCACGGGGAAAGGTTTGGGTGTGCTGCCTAGGCAACGGTCAGGGAACGGGGAAAGGTGTGTATGTGCTGCCTAGGCAACAGTCAGGGCACGGGGAAAGGTGTGTATGCTGCCTAGGCAACGGTCAGGGCACGGGGAAAGGTGTGGGTGTGCTGCCTAGGCAACGGTCAGGGCACGGGGAAACGCGTGTATGTGCTGCCTAGGCAATGGTCAGGGCACGGGGAAAGGTGTGGGTGTGCTGCCTAGGCAACGGTCAGGGCACGGGGAAAGGTGTGGGTGTGCTGCCTAGGCAACGGTCAGGGCACGGGGAAAGGTGTGGGTGTGCTGCGTAGGCAACGGTCAGAGCCCTGCGCACTCCCAGCACATATGTTCGTGACTCACGGAAAGGTCCCGATCTCCCCTTGCGATCGGGACCTTTTCCGATCATGTGACGGCAAATCACGGCGGTCACATGACCCTAAAACCCTGCCCACCTCCCGACTTCTGAAACTTTTAAAGGGCCGGAAGGCGCCGGCGCTAAGAGGTTAAACTGGTAACCTGTAGAAATTTTTAAATTGTCACCCATGGAGATTTTTAAGTATTGTAGTTTGACGCCATTCCACGAGCGTGTGCAATTTTAAAGCTTGACATGTTGGGTTTCTACTCGGAGTAACATCATCTTTCATATTTTACAAAAACAATTGGGGGATATTTTGTGTTTTTTTTTTTTTTTTTTTTTTTTTTTTTTTTTCTCAATCATTAAAGTGTATTTTTTTTTCCAAAAAAATTGCTTTTAAAAAATATATAAATTTTTAGTGCATCCTGAATTTTCAGTTACGGCACCAGAATTTTTGCTTTCAGTGCACCACTAATAACCGATAACTGTGTGTAATATACTATTTAGTTGTGTTTTTTTTTCTTTTCTTCCAGAGGTATTTCATTTATATAAGTGTCACGGAAACAGACTGCTAATCTGCTAATGGTATTTTTTGCATGTAGATATATGAGGATTTCTGTCTGTAGACTATAAAGCCGGCCATACACGGGTCGAATTCCGAAAGAATTTTCTTTCGAAAATCTTTTCAAAGAATTTTCTTTCCAAAAAATCTTTTCAAAGAATTTTCTTTCCAAAAAAAGAATCTTTTCAAAGAAATTTCAAGAATTTTCTTTCGAAAAATCTTTTCGTGTGAATTTTGCACCATTATGCAGGCCATAGACGGGTTGAAAATCGGCTGATTTTCGCACCGTTAATGGGTTAATTGGTCGGCCATTTTTCGGGGTTTTGGCACATTTTTTTTATCGGTGAAGTTGGAAAAAAAAACGTCCGATTTTGCCGGCAATGATGGCCAAATCGGCCGATCTTTTTACCGATAAAAAATCTGCGCATGAGCCGTGACCTGCAAGAAGGAGAATAAAGAAAGAAGAATTCCAGTCCGCTATTATATTTGACATGAAAAAGTCTTGCGGTTGCAACAATGTATCCATTTGTATCCGAATAAAAACATCTGTATCCGAAATGGATACATTGTTGCAACTGCAAGACTTTTTTCATGTCAAATATAATGGCGGAGCTCTCTGCAAGGGACAGAAGTAATTAAATGCCGGCCGTAGACGGGACGAAAATCGATCGTTTTTTTTTTTTTCTTTTTTACTGTTGGTAACGTCGGCCTGTTGAACGACCGATTTTTTTTCGGGTTTTTTGGTTTTTTTTTTTTAAAAACGGCTGGTTTTCGACCCGTCTATGGCCTGCATTAGTGGGTTACAGAAACGGCCGATTTTCGTGCGACCATCGAATTTGAGTGATCGGGCATGTTGGAAATTTTTTGAAAAATGAACGAATTTCTAATCAAGGATGGGAGAATCGTGCGAGAAATATAAAGCTGTGACCTGGAAAGAAAAGAAAATTCTTGGCCACTAAAATTCTTTGCTGTAGCAATGTGAGGAGAAATTGAAGGCTTGGTTGGTCGAATTTCAAATTCAATGGTGGCGCCATCGGATTACAAAACTCACGAAATTTCAGATTTGCTAAAGATAATTCATTCGGAATTTGACCCGTGTATGGCCTACGTAAGGCAATGTTATGTGCAGCAACGCACACAAAGATGGACGACCAATGCGTACGTTTGCCGTAATGGTGTCGGGACAAGTCCAGCCTAACAGCACAATGTGTCTCCATGTTCCAGGTGGTGGAAAGAGTCTGTGTTACCAGCTCCCTGGCTGCGTCTCCCCTGGAGTTACGATCGTCATCTCCCCTCTTCGTTCCTTGATAGTGGACCAAGTGCAGAAACTGACATCTCTGGATGTAAGTCTGTTTGTTTCATTTTTCATATAAAGCGGTATTACACCCAAAAGCAAACACTACCAGGGGCGGACTGACCATTCGGGTACTAGGGCCCAAGGTCAGTAAGGGCCCCCATGAGATGCCCCTAGTACCTTTCATAGGCTTTTTTGGGTGTGGTTTTGAGTGTGGGTGGGGACACAGGGGCCCCATGATCCCCTATTGCCCAGGGGCCCCATGGCTTGTCAGTCCACCCCTGCTTACTATATTGCAGCTTGCCAATTCTTGGATGTGGTGGCTGCGGTTTTTGTTCTTTCTTTTTCAGGTTTTCTTTCCTTTATTTTAAACAGGTGATCCTGCCAGTAAGTCTGTTTATTTTTCAACAGAACAAGCTGTCCTGCACATGTAGCATTTAGAGGGTTTATTTATTTATTTTAGGTACTTGTATAGCACTGTCAATTTATGCAGTGCTTTACATCAGGGCTTAAAAATTCAAGTCCTGAGCTACTAGCCAGGTCTTAAGAGTTACTCGCCATCAACAAACACACACAAACAGAGACACCTGTACACACACACACAGACATGTACATACACACATACACATGTATACACACACAGGCACGTACAGACACATACACCCAGATACATGTACATACACAGAAATACACACGCACAGGCACATGTACGTACACGCACAGGCACATGTACGTACACGCACAGGCACATGTACGTACACACACACATGTACACACACACACATACATGTTCATACACGCAGACACATGTACAGGCATACACAGACACATGTACATACACACAGACACACACAAACACACACATCCCTATAAAAAGTTGCAGTACTTCGTTGTTCACACACAGAGCCGGGTACTGCACTCTAGGGGGAGGCAGAGAGCACAGCACACACTCCTTGCTTTGCTTTCACTGCGCTCAGTTACTGAGCAGTCTGACGGCTCCCAGTGCCACTGACAGATCCGGCCTGAGCTCCGAGCCTGCTCAGCAAGACGGCCCTGGGGGACGCAATCGCCCCCCACCATAATTTCCACTCGCCATTGGCAAGCAGGCGAGTGGAAATTTCAAGGCCTGCTTTACATATGTATTGTACATTCACATCAGTCCTCGCCCACGAGGAGTGTACAATCTAAGGTCCCTAACCCCCAAGGGGCGTACGATCTAAGGTCCCTAACTCGCATACATACACATACCAGGGCCAATTTAGACAGGAGCCAATTCGCCTCTCAGCATGTCTTTGGAGCGTGGGAGGAAACCAGAGAACCCGGAGGAAACCCACGCAGGCACAGGGAAAACATGCAAACTCCAGGCAGGTGGTGCCATGGTTGGGATTCGAACCAACGACCCGAGTACTGCCAGGTGGAAGTGCTAACCATTTAGCCACTGTGCTGCCCATGAACAAAGCCATTTACCTCTTACATGAGTGCTTACAATGATCAATTTTATTCATTTATATAAAACCTTTATCCCAAAAGGGAAAAAAATGTTAGTGCTTAAAGCGGAGTTCCAGCCATTTTTTAAAGTTCCTCTGATCACATGGTTCGTGTGTTGTTCAGCACGATTTGGATATTTCAGTATTTCAGGACTGTACTTCCGGTCCCGACCTCCTAGGCGATGACGATGTGTAAGTCGATGCACAACGTCTCCTGGGATGTCTTTCCTGTATCCCAGAAGTCCTTTGGGTTCCTAGTGACTGAATATCACATTACTTTGAAACCCGGAAGTGCCGCGAATGGGCGGAGTTTGGCGCCATTTTACTGGAGTCCAGTGTGGGAAGGAAGTGTAAGATCTGTGCTGTGCTAATTCTTGTTGCGGGGCTTGTCCATTTCCAGACTTCACTTGACTTCCCCCTGGTGTGATTTGATGGACAGGTTTCCATAAGGGGGCGGAAACTTCCGCTGTCCCCGCCATTTTTATGGCGGCCAGTTCTATACAAGTAGCGCCGAGCAGTGTCAGTACTGCGCAGGCGCGAGATCGAGTGGTGCATTCTGGGATAACCAGCAGCACCAACTCCAGGAGAAAAAAAAGCCTTGCGGGCTTCAGATGCCCACAGACGTCATGGCGCCTGCCTGCTTCCGAGAGCAAGGTGAAGATTTACATATTTAAAACGAATTAGAAGGCTATAACTTTATCCAATCAAATCTAAAACTACGGTATCCAAAACAAAAAATGAGAAATAAATAAACTACACCCTCTAACACTCTACTTACTGCATGAATATATTTTTGGGGGGTTTTTCTCATTGTATGAAAATTTGTTTCACATTTTAGGGTTATTTAATACAGCGTATTGGGGTTATATTAAGATATAACTTTATCCAATTGTTAATGTTCTCAAAAAGGCAATCCTGGGTCAACTTTTAAAAAAAAAATTTCTTCTGGGGACTGGAACTCCGCTTTAAGTATTCGCTGTACTTTTGTTTCAATTTGTTAGTGTATGTAAATCTGCTAGTGCATCTGACACTCCCCTCCACCAAGACTGACTATGTGGGGGCGCTCTAATACAGGAGGGGTGTTATTGGCCAGATCACCAGGTGAAAACACAGATGAAAAAAAACAAATGCAGACACCACATCTAATGATTTGATAAGCGAAAATATAACATTTTTGTTTTTGGGTCGCTTTAATGAAGTACTGTCACATGCTTGGTATTGTGTAGTTCTGCAGTTTTATTTTAACTTTTTTTTTTTTACCTTAATTTTTTTATAACTTTTTATACTTTTTTTAATATACCTTTTTATACTTTTTTTTTTATTTTTTATACCTTTTTTTATATACTTTTTTTAATATATTTTTTTCCCCCTTTTTTTTTATACTTTTTTTATATACGGTTTGTTTTTTATACTTTGTGTGTGTGTGTCTCTACACTTATTTTATATTTTTTTTTATACCCTTTTTTTTTTTTTTTTCATATAATTTTTTTCTTTTTTTTTTTATACTTCTTGTATATATATTTTATACTACTTTTTTTTTTATATACTTTTTTTTTATATCTTTTTCTCTTTTTACTTTCTTTATATACTTTTTGTTTTTTATATCTTTCTTTTTTTTATATTTTTTTATACTTTTTTGTTATACCTTTTCTTTTTTTTTTTTTTTTTCTCAGATTCCTGCCACTTACCTTACTGGGGATAAAACAGATGCAGAAGCCTCCAGCATTTACCTTCAGCTTTCCAAAAAAGATCCAATTATAAAACTTCTCTATGTTACTCCAGAAAAGGTAATTTTACATCTATAACAAAGTAAAAGCCAGTGTGACCACAGAAGAAAGCAAAAAACTTTCTCATTCTTTAAAAAAAGAATAAAGAACGATGCTTTTATATTGTGCCAAAACCTGAATAAATGAAAATTTTTAATTAGTTTGAAACCTTTTGATTGAGCCTGAATATTGAGAGGGTTAGAGATCTCCTGAGGTCTGAGAGCCGTTTCAGCAGGTTGGACTCTTGCTAACACAGGTCAGGCAATGGAAAGGGCAGCAGTTCTCAGCCCTTAGGACTTGTGACCCCCTGAGTGTGACAATCCTCATACTCTGCGTCAGACTCTTGGCGAAGGCTCTCAGCCCGGGTTCACACTGGATACGACTTTGGAATCATGCGACTTCACTTGAAGTTGCACAATTTCAAAGTCGGTGGATGGTGCAAAATGTAAGACATCTGTCCGATTTCATGCACAAATGTCTATGCAAGTCGCACCCAAAATCGCCAAAAGTAGTGCAGGGACTACCTGTCAAATCGGCGCGACCTCAACAAAGTCTGAGGATGCAAGTGTGCAATCCAATCGCACACGTTCCTGCGTTAAAAATGGCTGTGTGTATAAGTGGGTGTTGCAGTGACAGTCGGCTGGAACCGAACAGAATCGGCGAGGGAGACTGTCGCCAGCACACCGAGGATCACCAATATGGGTCCAAAAGTGTTAATAAATGATCAAATAGTTACAGCAAGGCAACGTTTTGGAGTCTCGCAGGACTACACATGCCTGATGAAGGGTGTAACGGAACCGACCCAGACAGTACTTCCCCGTCTGAACACCAACCACAGACACCACAGCTGACCAGGGGTGGACTGACCATTTGGTAACTCTGGCACTGCCCGAGGGCCCGGGGTCAGTAGGGGGCCCCATGAGATGTCCCTGGTACCTTTTTCATAGGCTTTTTTGAGTTTGGGCAAGGACACAGGGGCCCCATGATCCCCTATTTCCCGGGGGCCCCATGAGTTGTCAGTCCGCCCCTGCAGCCGACCATACAAGACTAGACGACACCAGTCTTGAAGTAAACCAGGAGGTAGACTAGTTTATTTGAACAGAGATACAAGATATATACACTCAGGGGACAATCCCCCCTCCCTGCATAATGACACAGGGTGGTGCTATCTACATTTAGTAACGAGACACACCAGTATTCAAAATTCACACCAGCAGACAGTCCCATCAGGAGGGAGGGCTGCTGGAGACACTCCCCCCCCCCCCCCCCCCCCCCCCCCCCCCCCCCCCTAAGGCCAATACACATAAACACATACATCCCATAATAGTTTGCTCCCAAGCCAGACACACACTAGAACAATGGGATGCAACCACATAACATCAAACAATCAACAACCCCCCCACCCCAAAATTAGGACAGATCACCCTGTACCCCTAACAGGCACAGGGTGACTTACACATAATAGGGATATGGGGAGCTGAGACAGGGGTCTCCCCACCTCTCCAAAGTGAGCTGTGTTCCATGGACCCTCCACCCAAAGTGACTCCCGTCACAAAGGGGTCCTGCGAGACTCCGAAACGTTGCCTTGCTGTAACTATGTGATCGGTCATTAAAACGTTTGGACCCATATTGGTGATTCTCGGTGTGCTGGTGACATTCTTCCTTGCTCAACAAAGTCTGAGTCACACCGATTAGTACGCTTCCATTGCCGATCATTGGGTACGACTTGTCATGTGATTTGAACTGTCAAATTGCATGACGGCAAGTCGCATCGGTGTGAATGGGGGGGAGGGGCTTAGTTTCGTCATGAAGGGATGCTGGTGAATAATGTTACTCTACCTGGTTTCCTGAAAGTGTTAATAAACCCTTGTCCGCAAATATTCTGTAGTGCAGCCGCACTTTATATCGGGAGGGGGCGCCGGACTAAGTGCAGCATTAGCTGTACAATTTATTTATAAAATGACAATTGGCAACTCACAAGACGTAAAAAGGGAATGCGCATGTCACCGGGCGTAGTCCAGACTCCCGGGAGTGGATATTGCGCAGCCACGTGCATGCTCCACGCCGCAGGTCTTCAGATGTACAGCAAGCCACTCGCTGTGCAGACATGAATAGGCGGCACTGTGAGACTGCTGCAAAAGGGGACTTGTTTACTGCTGACCTTTCTGCCACTGGACTTTGACATTTACCCCCAGTTCACATCTGTGCGGGTGGTGCTGCTCCGCGGACCCGCAGGTGGGTGCCATTATTTCTAATGGCACGCCGCCTGCACTGGGAAACGTAACCGTACTGGGAACCGAGGGACTTCTTCCCTACGTGTCCCGGGGCACGGGAGTCCACTCAAATGAATGGGCTCTCTTGCACGTGCAAAACGTGGACCGCACGACCGCATAGGTGTGAACCGGGAGTTAATGTTGTACACATACGAGAAATAAAGTTTATTTAACCCCTTCACACCTAAGGGGAAAACAAATCTTAATGCCTAAGCACAATTTTGCAACTTTGACCTGTGTTAGTAAAACCGTCCGTATCATCACAACTACTTTGTACATTGAGGTGGATTATACCGCGTTTTTTTCAGGACAAATTGGGCTTTCATTTGGTGGTAAATGGTAGTGGATATCGCCTAATTTTTTTATTTAGTTTTTTATTATCAAAGGAAAACTGGCCTAAAATAGTGAATTTTTTTTTTTTTTATTTAGCTGTGTGTGTCTTGTTACTACCATAACCTACCACCAAAGAACAACCCAAAATTAATCCTCCAGCTCTTGACGATCGCAGCGATACCATATATGTGTATGTTATTTGTTGTTTGTACCCGGAGTACAGCCCAGAAACAATAGTGCGCATTTTGTTTTTTTTTTTGTTTTTGTTTTGGTTT